CCGTTGCCAGACCACCAGCTGCAGCAGCTGCGGGTCGGGCTCGGGCGGCGGGGCCGGGCGCGGGCCGGGCGGCGGCGGCGGCAGCTCCAAGGAGCACTGCTCGGCCCAGCGCGGACAGCCGCCCTTCTGCGCGGCCACGGCGGTGCGGTGCTTCTGCCGGCCCAGCTGCAGCGCCACGAAGGCGGCGTCGCCCGGGCCCCCCTTGGCCCGAAGCCCCCGCGCCTGCAACACCCACACCTGCACGTGGCTCGGCAACCAGGCCGGCGGCGGAGACTCCTCGCCCGCCCGCGGCAGGCTCATCCCGGCGGGGCGGCGGGGACGCTCCTGCGGCAAACTTTCTCCGGCTCCCGCGGGCGAAGCGGGCGGCGGGCGCGGCGGTGCTGCAGCTGCAGTTGCAGTCGGTAGCCCCGCCCCCCGCGCCAGCAGGGCCCCGCCCTTGCGCCCTGGCTCCGCCCCGCGGCCGACCGGCCGGAGAGGAGGGGGCGTCCCGCGCAGAGCTTCCCGAGCGGCCGAGGCTTCCGCGCCGCTTTGCGTCTCCCAACTTCGGGGGAGGCTGGGCCGGACGGCTGCCGGGGGGGGGACGACTAGGCAGAGCCGCGCCCGGCCCCCGGGGTGCTCAGCTGGAGTGCGGAGGGAGGCGGTCGCGCCCGAGACTATTCGGCGTCCGCAGGCGCCCCTTGGCCCCGGGGCCGCCCTCCTCCTCCCGCCCCGCCAGAGACGCCGCTCCCAGCGCCCCAGCCGGCTTCTGTCCAAACGGAGCAGCCCTCGGACAGTTGCCCCCCACCGAGGGGAGGGGGGCAAGGGCAGGCTCGCCAGTCCAGAACAGGGGGGGGCTGGAGCGCGAACATGCGCAGAGCAGAGCACGTGCAGAGCAGGGGAGGGGGCCTCTGCACTGAAGGGTCAGCTCCAGGTGGGCCCCGGGGTTGCGGACCCTGGGAGGATCGAGTATTTTTCCAAGCGGGAACGTTTGTATTACCAGCGGACTCCCCCGTGGCTCAGCTTAGTTTACAACTGAATCCCGTCTTATTAAAAGAACAATGCAAGAGACCTGCAAAGAACCAAAGGGGAAAGCAAAGGGCCAAAGCCACTGACCCTCCCCCAAGGCCTGGGAGGACAATCCAAGGGAAAATGTCCCCTCAAATACGCCACCTTGTCCTTGACAGCAAGACTGGAATTATCCCATCTGTTGGGAATGGGGTGTGGGAATGATGGTCCCATTGTGTTGGGAAGCAGGAGGAAGAGCCACAGACTGGTGGGGGGGGGAGCTGAGCCCGCAGGAGGACTGGCAAATGTCTCAGAAGGGATCCTCCGTCGGGTCTTGGAACGTAAAGGGGGGGGGCGGCAGGGGGAGCGATGTACCTTTAGATTTGCAAGAAATCCATTCACACATCCTTGCAGTAAGTATAGGGCTAAATCTTTTGAATGTGCTTCGTAGTTGGACTACACTGCAAGGCTGGCAGATTCCCCACCTTCACCCTTTCCTTTGCTCTTTGACTCTGCTGCCATCTAAGGGTCATCTAGATTATTGCAAGCGCAGGAGAGGCTGCAACCAGAGGGAAGCGCTTGGGGTCCCCATTTCTTTCAGGTAGCAATTTAGCCAAGGAAGCCCTCGTCACAGGAACGGTGGGCCTCCAATACGATTCTGCTATTCCGTGCCTAGCCAGGCGTTCACTATCCTGGGTTTCGTCCTGGGTCAAAGCAATGACATTGACCGAGTGAAGGGGGGGGAGTCGTATCCTCTGAGTTGCCCTGGTGGCAGCAGGCCAGAGCTGCAGGTCGGGAGGTGATACGGCCACAGTCTGGAGGAGCTGCCTCTCATGAACCAGAAGCTCCGGCAATCCCTCCTTATTTACTGCTCTAAGAAGCCAATATTTCTCAACCTTGGCAACTTAACATTGACGTGTGGACTTCAACTCCCAGAATTCCTTGGCCAACATGCAGTCTGGGAATTCTGGAAGTTGAAGCCCACTCAAGGTTGAACAGCATGGATCTGGACTGATCACCAGCTGAACAACCGTCTTCCTCCCTGAGCGAGACAGACCACTCAGTGGTGTGACCGCTTCTTCCTCCTAAGCTTCTTCTCGAGTGGCTAAAAATGTCAGGTGGGCCACTCTGGCTGTTGCCCTGTCCCTCCCCATCTCTGGCCCAGGCAAGCAGCTGTGGATAAAGCCAGGGATCCGGAAGAGGAGGGCTTTCCTGGAGAGCTTTGGGGGCATCGTGGTCAGTCGGAGATGGCTCAACTGGGGGAAATGGTCCCACCAAGGGGCCTCCCGAGCCAGAGGGTTTCCCCGATGTCCTTTGGGAACCTTCTGGTCATCTATCCACTGCTGTAGCAGGGGCCAATTTCTGAACATGGAGAAGTGGCTATCAGTGGAACAAGAGATGGAGGAGCCCTGGTGGCACAGTGGCTAAAGGGCTGGATTGCGGGCAGTTCGATCCTGACGGGGCTGGAGGTGGACATTGAATTATTAGTTAGGCCCAAAGAATTATTAATAATTTTCTCCACCACCACAATTGAAAGGTTTTCAGAGCACAGGAGAACACAGACCAATTTGCAGCTGACGGGGGACGAGTGTGGGCCCGAAAGGTAAGAGATTGGGGTGTGAGCTGTCAGCTTTTGAAAAGTGGGAGCTGATTGAGCTGATGCCCCAGAGGTGCTTTTCAAAAGGAAACTGGACTTTCCTGGGCTTTTTCCCCTTGAAAATGTTTCACTTCTCATCTAAGAAGCTTCTTCAGTTCTCCAAAAGCCAAGAAAGTCCACCTGCCTTGTGAAACCCACCTCCGGGACAGCCGTGGCCTGGCAGATGGAGAATGTCCGCAGGCCATGGGGCTGGTGGCTCCTCTGAGGCAGCCCACATCCATCTCCTTGGGAGCAGCTGGGCAAGCTGGCCAGGGAATTCTGGGAGTTGAAGTCCACCCATCTTCCAGTGGCCATGGTCAAGAAACCCTGTTCCAGAATGTTCTCTCTGCAGCAGAATAGCAAGAATGTTCAAGAATAAATTGGAAAAGTGTTGGAAATGTCATCAGATACTGGGTTCATATTACCATATGTGGTGGACTTGCATGAAAGCTAAAAGATATTGGACTGAAATCCACGCCTGGTTGAAAAAAATGATACAAAAACATATAGACTAAACCAGAAATCTTTTTATTGGGAATTTTACTGGAAACATACAACAGAGAATTGAAATATTTGATTGTAAATGTGTTAACAGCAGCTAGAATTGTATTTGCAAAAAATTGGAAAAATGAGAAAATACCAACGCAGGCGGAAGTTATTTACAAAATAATGGAATGTGCTGAAATGTCTAAATTGACATTTGAAATTAGAGAACAGGAAGATAAACAA